CCTTCCCAGAGGACAGTAACTGGCAACATTATTTTATGCTGAAGCCTTTCTCCAAGAAAAAAAAAGTCAACACAGTAGTATGTTATGTAGTGGACTGTAGTTCAAAGGTTATGGCTTTCCACTAGGACCTGTGCCTATATTCCACTGCAATACAAATCTATGATGTAACTACACTTTGAATACTTTGTATAATTCTGATCCTGCACCTCAAAATGAATATTGTAGACCTGTGAAAGGTGCAGAAAGGGCACCTCAAAATTACCAGGGAGTAAACTCCTACTCTATTTTGCATTATTCTCAGGTGTCATCTCATAACTTACTCTCCTTTCTGAATTGTAAAAACAAAACAAAGATATATCACCTAACTCCACTTCCAAGAATATAGGGACTTCCAGATGAAGATCTTTGCCTCCCTTTGGCTTTTCCTGAAACTGACCATTCATTTTGGTGACATATGCTCGTGTTTCTTTGGTATGGGTTCTCAAAATCTTAAATTACATACACTAATGTAATACAGTACCATACCATACCCTTCCTCCTCAATTATTCAAGTGTCCATCTTATTTCTACGTTATCCCAAGCAATATACACTTTGCTTATCATAGAACATATAGATCCAATTCCATCCTCATAGAATATTGTTCCTGTTTCAGTACTTCAGCCTCCCAAAGAAAATGCTATCCTAAATGAATGCCTGTACTCTGTCACCAGACCAGGATACAAATAATATGAATAGTCAAAAGAAGCTTTTAATTATTTCTCTTGCTAATATTCTGACTTTTCTTAACATTTCATCATCCGTGCAAATTGATCTTATTTTCCGCATAGCTATCTGCTAAACACACCCATTGTCTCTAAATTTCTGTTTTGCAGTTAGAGACCACTGTTATCTCTACTGGGTTCTTCTCCCTGAATACTCCATGGCATCCAGAAATGTACTATAGTAGTGCCCACACTCTAAGTGAAAAGAGATATCTGGGTGCTTTTTACATAGATAACTGCTTGCCATGGCAGACTTCCAATTAGATGTTGTTGCTAACTCTCATTCTTCATTCTATGCCATGACTGCTTCTCATGTTAAGGATGCAAAATTCCATTCTGTATCAAATGTATTGACATATGCCTTCACCTTTGTTCCCACAGCCTGTCCATTTCTTCTCATGTAACTGTTGTCTCTTAATACAACCCTCAGTAGTTGATTATTAAACATTTTCAAACTTTCTGTCTTACATGTTTTTTTCTGGACACAGCTACCCTCCTGTCACCCACTCTGCCCTGGATACTGGTGTTAGTTCTCAAGCAACAAGTGAGAAATCACTGTGAATCTATAGCCACCTGTGATCTCTGCTATCTCCCTTTCATGATAGTCTTTCTTGTCTGTTTTATGCTATGATTCAGCTTTCCAGCAGATGTACCAGAATAAATGTGGTTTTCTAGTGTATCATAAGAACTTAAGAGAGCTTCCGGATCAGGCCAGTGACCCATCTAGTCCAACATCCTGTTCTCACAGCGGCCCGCCTGGTGCCTATAGAAAGCCCACAAGCAGCATCTGGGTAAAACAGCAACCCTTCTGTGGTTTCCAGCAACTGGTATTTGGAAGCACACCACTTCCAACTATGGAGGTATCTTTCCTTCCAAAGGTTGCGTCCCTCTTTAGTCTCAATCAGGACATAAACTTTCCAGCTCTCCGCCCAGAACGGAAAAACAACAACAACAAATGCACACTACACACCTGCTAGCCTTGTACATTTTTGAGGACCACAAAGTTTGGAAGAATAACGTTTTTGTATGTAATGGCTCTCATAAAGGTAATTTGGTGTCATCTCAAAGACTATTTTGTTGGGTAGCATCTTCTAGTGATCTGGGCTACCAGTTAGCCAAACAACCCAGTTGCCAACTCATTCCATAGAACAGCTACCTCCTCAGCACACTTTAATTAAACATCCTTCTTTGAACTTTGCAGAACTGCCACATGTACTGTCCTACCTATTTATCAGGCACTGTGCTCTGGATCTTAATTCCTGTGCTGCTACTTCTTGTGAGATCTTCCATGAATGAAGTGTCTAGCTCTAGTTGGCTTACTAATCAGTCAATTGTAGGAGTTCATGTAGCCCAGAAAGAAGAAACACAATTGACATACCTGTTCATAGGTGTCCTTCAAGTGGTCATCCACACACCTTATTCTCCTCCTTCTCTGTTGATGTCTCTTACTTTTGTAGCTATGCAGAAGGAATTGAAAGAGCAGAACCACTTATTTATGTATTTGCAGATTTATAAACCACTTCACGGCCCAAATTTACTGAAATGGTGTACAATAAAATGCAATAAAACAAAAAACGTATACAGCCATAATATCATTTCGACAAATATTATGGGTTTACACAAAGGACTACTTGAAGAACCCTAATTATACTAGATAAACACTATTTTCATTGAAGTGTGTAAAGAAAAGTGTGGAGCCTGCTGTAAACCATGGTTGAAAGTATTTCCCAAAGAATTGCATTAAACAAACAGCCCAGAAGCCATCTACTGACATTATATTTATGACCCATTTATGACTCTATTTGTTTGAATAAACAGGGTTTTTTAAAAGATGATGCATCCAGTTCTCCTCTTCTATCTCCTAACTCTTCCTGCTTGGTGCCCAGCCTGCCTAATTGTATGACAGAGCTTAGTCCTTTGGTAGGTGCTCACCTGATTTGCTAAGCTAAAATGTGCTTTTTTGTGAATTATGCATAAAGAGGGGAGTCAGCAATCTTTATTTACCAGTAACACCTGTTTTCCTTGCAATTCACATAATTTCCTCCCCACTGAACATTCTGGCAGAGCAGAAGCTGAGAGATTATTTCCTGATGAACAACCTATTTTTAACTTAGTGAAAGTGTAACTTCTATGTCAGGGTTCCCTGATCTTGCAGGAGTAGTACTGCAATTTTATGGTATTTTCCCCTTCAGTGAATGAATGTTTATTAAGTACTTGTTTCTTTTTTGAATCTCAAGGTATTTGGCAGATGCTATCATTCTTGGCAGAGATATGCATTGTGGCTGCAGCTCAGACACTGTTTGTTCAGAATATGTTACTGTTCTATTTTGGGAACAAGAGTTATAATATGTGGAGTTTGATTTTGGCAGTACTATGGACAGGGAAGAGGAATGACATGAAATTTGCCTCAGATGTGTGCTACACAGTTACATTGCCCTCTTCATATTCTTACCATATGGACAAATTGCATATAACTGGGGGGAAACTAGCAGATTTTGCAGTACATCAGGGAGGGCAGACTTCAAACTTTTGTTATTCATGGTCCCTGCCCCCTTTTACCAGAACTCTGGGGTTCACCCACTGGACCTAGTCACAGAATGGTTTGTTGAGGATGGATTCTGATAGGTCAGGGGTGGAGCATAGCAGTCTATCCATCTATATCATGTTCTTACAAGTCCCCTGTCGCCAAGTGGTGCCATCCACATCTGATATCTTGCCATCACACATTACCTAATGCAATCCAATCTACAACCCTGTTGCAAACACAAAGGAAGAACTTCAAGTTATTTAGTTAATCCAGTTGTAGAGTGCAGGACGAGATACACAAAGAGAAGCATATTTGCATCACATTAATAAAGAATAAGATTTTAAGGTTTTCTAAAAATGTTCACACATTTTACAATTGGGGTACACTGAAGCTGAGATTAGTTCACAGGACAAATAAATGAATACATTACAGAGTATTAAACAGTCAAGAAAGCGAGTGAAGCCATAGTCAACACGTATGTAACAGAATGTTGCCAACATTTGATGACAGAGTGTATAGATGATGCTTACCTGTTTTACAGATGGGAAATACTGGGACTAGGTGCTGATGTGCCCAAAGGAGGTCTGTGATGTGAGACGCAAGCACAACTAACCACAAAAGCCAGTCATGGGCACACACATAGAGGTTTGACACAAAGCTGAATGGGAGGGGTAGAAGAGGACACAGACACACTTAGAGGAGAGCACATTCTTCAAAGTACTATGGCATTGACATGTATCTTCACTTTTCCCAAACCTGCTGTGCTATTGAATTGGAGGATTTATTTACTCATTATTTATTAGAATTATACACCACACTTTTCTCCAAAGGGGTTTAAGGCAGCAAAGTTCAAGATCACAGCAGTGTCTCCAAAAGAGTAGTAGTACTAGAAGCCTTAATACTAGAAACAGTTCTGAGGCAGAATACAGTCATACCTCGAGTTGAATGTGCTTCAGGTTGAGCGCATTCGGGTTGCGCTCCGCGGCAACCCAGAAGTAATGGAGCGTGTTACTTCTGGGTTTTGCTGCTCACACATGCGCATACGGTCAAAATAACGTCATGTGCATGCGCAGAAGCGGTGAAACACGACCCGCGCAGACGCGCTGTCGCGTCTTGCGTCCTGTTCGGGATGCGAACGGGGCTCCGGAATGGATCCTGTTTGCATCCCGAGGTACCACTGTATAGGAACACTAGGACAATATAGTAAAATATATTTAGTCCAATACAGTCGTACCTTGGAAGTCGAACAGAATCCGTTCCAGAAGTCTGTTTGACTTCCAAAATGTTCAGAAACCAAAGCACAGCTTCTGATTGCGGAAGCCCCGTCGGATGTTCAGCTTTCAAAAAATAGTTCACCAGCTGGAACCATCGCTTCCAGGCTTGTGGCGTTCGGGAGCCAAAACATTTGAGAACTAAGCTGTTCGAAAACCAAGGTACGACTGTATAACCGAAACAAGAGAGCGCATTTTGTGTGCATTCTCTTTCCCCTCTGAAATATGACTCCAACTTTCAGAGATCAGGGTTTGGGGGGTTATTTTTTTAAAAATTAATTTTTGCAAGTGTGAGAGCACTGCAGTGAAGATGCACAACTCTTAACATATATTGAAAAGTTACGTGGGTGTTATGGTCCTGGGGGTTGTGTATAAAATCAGAACAACCCCTACCACCTGAGATCTTGAGAAGGCCTCCAGAGCCTGCATAAGACCTTCCTAGAGTCTGGTAAGCAAGGAAGAGGGCTTAAAAACACTTTCCGTGGTGGGAAAACCCTTCCTGGAAAAAGCTTTTAAGCCCTCTGTCTTGTTTACCAGACTCTGGAATAGTTGCATGGGAACTTTGGAGGCTGCCAGCCTCCAGGGCCCGGTAAGCAAGAGTCTCCTTCACCCTTTCTATTTGTTTGTTTGTAGAATTATGCAGATCACATAATAAACAAACAATCACATAAGTAAAATCGGCATAAGGTGTGATTTGACAGCATTCCATTTTGAGCCTCTGTGCATCCTGAAATTGCAGCAATTTTGGGGCTATTTCTTGTTTGAAAAATAGTTTTTCATTCTAGGGTGATATCATTATACAACCTATAAGATTTGGCTATGTGATGATGTCACTGAGGGCATACAGTCAACAAAAAGAGAGTATTGCTCCCAGTGATGTCACTATGTCACCAAATTTGATTAGCTCTCTAGCAATCTCACTGTTACTCAAAAGTACATTTTTCAGACATAAAATGGAGCTGAGGCTACAGGTGCCAGAATTGTGAATCAGTGCAAAAGAAGGGAGCTTTTAGAGGTGTTTTGAAAAAGCTTTTGCCCCCCTCCAAGCCCATTTTTCACATATGCAAATTGTTTAATAGGGGCACATTCTGCTTAGCCCAGACAAGCATCAAAAGACACCCATAGTTTATAGTGCCTGCTAGTGGTACTAGTACATGACTCAATACCGACTAAAAAAGAATGATGCCTACTGAGTCCCTAGTAATTTAATGGTCCCTTGAGGTGTCAAATCAAATTCTGACTTCCCCTGATCTTATAACATCTAAGGAAATTGTGGAACAAAGATGCATGGCTACAGACTGCAAATTAATGTACAAAAGAAATTGCAAACCAGCCAAAATTATTTAAACATACTATTGAAAGAAAGGTTCAGTGTCCACTATCAAGAAGTGGTGATGACCCAAGTAAGATGGAGACCAGGAGGTCCAGGGCTCCAGAAAAGACTAGAAACTCAGACAAGGTTGGAGGTCTAGACAAAGTACCAAGATGCTGATTTATAGTTCAGGATCATGATTATCCATCCAGAGAAAGAAACACATTGTCTGACCACTATTCTGGAGCAACCACAAGAGTTTTCTAGTCTGAGCTAGATAATATTACAGCCTTGCCCCCTGAATCTATACCACTTAAAGGGCCAGCTGGTTTTTCTGCAACTGTTGGCTTCCTCTAGGGGCAGTGGATTTTAAACTGCAGGGACATTTTTAGGGGAAGCTCATTGTGGCTTCCTTGATCCTCCAAGGAGTCTATAGTCCAGTTGTTGGCATCTGCTGGCAGAGGTGCCCCCTTGGGGTTCAGGGAAATCCAGGTTGGAATGGCCAGGGAATAGATCTCCCTGCAAGGCTATTTTTGACAAAGCCACTTGCAGCAGAGAACTTTGACTCTGGACTCTTCTGATAGATGAGAAACCTGTGCACCTCTTGCAAGACTGGAATTGGCCTAATCCTTTTCTGTACTTTAGTTAAAGAAGAGGAAGAAGAGTACTTATGGTTTGCAATCTTTGCACTTCAGTGAGGATTGTCCTCAGTAGTTGTTAGAGAAAGAAGGGACATTGGGGAGAGGGCAGGGACCATGCCAACGTAAATACGACTATGTCCTACACATGAGTAACACACAAATAGGGCTCAAGTATAGAGGGCATTGGTCCTTTTCTCAGCTATGAGAACATAGCAGAAAGTGATGTCATAATTAAAAATGGTTAATGGCTTACACAAATATGTTGTTATCTGCTGTGTTGCCCTGGCAACTAACAACAGGATTTTTGGGTTTGCTGTTAATCTGACAAATTTATCTCTTCTTTACACTTTAGTTGCATTGTTCTCAAATCTCGGAATATAGTCATTCAGAGCAATGGATTACATGGGTCTTTGAGACAAGGATTTGAAACTGGGGCAAGGGTGCTGAGATTTTATGTGGGAATATGAGATATAGTTAACAGACACAACAATCTATAGGTGGGCATATGTACAAGAAATGGAATAGCTTCTGAAATCTTATGCCTCATACTGTATATCTGAAATATGAATGCAGTAACTGCACTGCAGCAGCTTTTAAGCAGTTTCTGACTATTCTTAATCAGATTAATAAAGTAATTCTTATTTTTATTGTTTACCTATCTGTAGAAATAGCTCAGTTGCTCCACCGGATTTGCCTTGGTCTTTTTTCTCACACCACCTGATTGCTTCAAATTGAATTATCAGTAAAATAATGGATCTTGCTGATTCTTGGCTAATCCAGACAACCAGCTCATTAAATGCATTTTAGCCTTTGCTACTGAGGTGGAAATGCCATGGAGCTTCTCCATGCTTTGCCTTGAGACTAGCCAGTTTTGGCTCCCACCTATTTCTGTGTTGAATACTGGTTGGCTCTGGGGTCATCGCAATATGGCATGGGAGTCACTACTAATCAGTGAAGTCAGAGGTTCTAATTCTTACTTGCAGCCACACTCCAGACAGCTCTCCAAATCATAGCAACTTTCCTTGGGAAATAATCTTATTCCTTTTTTGAACTACAAGATGCTGCTGTTCAAGTGCCGAGAGAGTGAAGATTCCATTCTCTGCAACCTAGGTTTCTCCTTAAGAGATAACATCTGTATCCCTTGTAACATCTGCTTATGGCCTCAGAGCACTTTCACCACATTTTTGTCCCGAGGTGGGTGGGGTTAGGTAAACTTGTGAATGTGGTTAAAGTTGGATAGGACAGAAAAACAGCTCTTTCTACTCAAACAGTAGTCCCCAGAATTGTTGCTATTACATTTGAATGGTCTGATGCAGGCACACCTTTCCTTTCCTGTTAACAGATGTGGCCTTAAAGGATGGGTGCTCTTGGTTACCAATAGTCATTCTTTATCATAAATAAATATAACACGAGCTCTTTGATACCAATGTCTCCTCCACTAGCTACAATGAGTGTAGTCTTTGTAAAAGCACCAGTTTCCAACATCTGAGTATGCATGATGCAGGATACACTGTGATACCACTCCATGGCCCTGGGAAATTCCAAAATGCACAGGCACCTGTTGTGGTATACATAGCCTGAGTGTTACAGAATGTGAGCCCTTTTGTAGCTAGTCTGTCTACTTAGTCCACCAAATGAGTTTCACAAGGTCTCAGACCATTTTTGACAGTGTGTTGCTTGCTGTCAGATATTTTTCATACTTGGATGTGCTTGTAAGACACCATAGCCCCAGGAAGGAAGCACTGTGCTTGTGCTCTCAGCTTTCTCTCAAGGGAATGGTGAAGATGTACTACCTGCCTGTGCTAAAGTTTGTGCTTTTCTAATCACTTATTCCCTCTCCAGGCTTTGCTGTGGTTTTCATGCAAGCACTTGTCTCCTTGGGCAGCAATTACCTGTGAGAATCTCATTGGAGAGAGCGCAGCTAGCTTCATGTGACAGTTGTGCAAAGAAATACGGGAGTTGTTTTTAAAGTAAATGCAAACTTTATTCTCCTGCCAGGGAGGCTAATGGTCCTGTATAAGGAAAGGCAGGGGGGAGGTGGGTGCCAAGCACCTCTGCAAGCCTTATTTTATTCTGGATCTACAGTTTCTGAAGCTGAGCACTTTTGTGAGCGATATACACAATACACTGTAGCCCACAATATTTGGGAAGCATCATAATGACTACCCCTGGTCTGCTACCTCAGCCCTCATACTTTTCAAGGGGTAGCTTTTGCCTCCCTAGGATATCTGTAGGAATTACATGACACCTTTTGTTGAAGCCTTTTGGGCTTGCATTTAGAAAATGCTAGAAAGCAGCCTAAATATCAGCAAACCTGTATCTAAGGCATGGAGCCAGGCAATAATTTGAAGACATGCTACTGGCACTTGGTTATTCTATTATTTCACCTGGTACTTCAGTTTTCCCTGAGATGTTCTGCCTGTCTGAAGCATAGTCTCACTATTTCATTTTCATATACTAACACAGTTCAGCCATGGGTCCAAATTTAGACCTAGACCTGTATGATTCCTCAGCCCTGTTTGGCTACTTCATTCTTATCTGATGTGCTGTTCCAGCCTCCTCTCTCTGTTTTGGCCAGTTATTTTTCTGTATGCAAGACAGGTAGGGATGAAAGCAGTAGCCACACTTTTTCTTTAAAAAATACCTTATGCTAGGGAGAATTACAGAGCATGCCCCTGTGTTATTCCCAAGAAGCAGGTATATGATTGAAATATCATTGTTCACGTTTCTTACTTAATAATACTTCACAAGACCGGGAGAAAAGATGAGGAGATGCTTTTATCATTGTGTGCATTAAAGCCATTTGTCCCTGAATTGGCCAGGAAGACAAGGATTATGTTCCAATGGCAGTAACTGTAAACAGACTCTTATTCAAGAGATTTGTTCCTGGGGGCCAGAGTCAATTGCTTAGGTCTCAGGACACTTACATGTGGGGTTAAGTTTCTTGGTGCACTTTGTAGAAATAGTGATGTTTCCAAGTCCATTGTTTTATTGATTCTTTTATTGACAAGTGCTTGCTAAGGGAGAACAGATTGTGCTTTATAGCTATTGATGAGTCTTCTCAAGGGAAGAGTCAGAACAACTATAAAAGGCTGCTTTCCTAGACCCCAGCAGATTTTTCTTGTTGTTAATGCCAACATCCATGTGGATGTAATGGGAGAAAGAATCTTTGTCAGTGCGGGAGAAGGGACCCGGCTGTGGACGAGCACTTCTGGGAAGGACCTCCTTGCAAGCCAGCAGGAGGGCCAGGGTCCCCTGAGTGCAGCTGTGTGGCCACAGCCCAGCTACTGCCGTCGGCGCACGTCCCTCTCCGGCCCTGCGGCACCTTCACACAAGACACCTCAGGTAGATAATTAAGAGTTTAGGCGGCTTCAGCGGCAGGTGCCTGGCACCCCCCAGAATTCGGCGCCCGGGTGCCCCGCACCCCTTGCACCCCCGGGTAAAGATGGCCCTGACTAAAGAAACTGTTGCTGACACCAGCTTCTAAGTGGCTTTTGTTGTTGTTTAGTCGTGTCCGACTCTTTGTGACCCCATGGACCAGAGCACGCCAGGCACTCCTGTCTTCCACTGCCTCCCACAGTTTGGTCAA